TGCCTTTACTACTAACGTTTTGCCCTCATTTACCAACATATTCAAGTCGTTTGAACCTAATGTGTTTTTTCATAAACAGCTTTAAACCTTTCAAGATGTTATAAAACATCTTTAATAATCATACTTTATGGTTCGGTTGTTTGCTGACAAGAACTAATAAGATATTTATTTTAACAAGAACATAGTGCCATATTAGGAAAGAAAATAAAAAAAGTTAATTTTAAATAAAAATTTATCCATTATGTTGCACTTTTCAATACTAATTATCATAATTTCATGGAATGAGCTGTTAATTGATATCGTATGGGTAAATTTGCTTCCCCTTCTTATGGAATACCTAATGGCTTCTGCGGTGTTAAATGGGATATAGTCTTCAAAAGAATTGCTGAAGTCCCACTGGCGGCGGAGCGGTAAAGTCGCTGAACACTGGTAGTTCTATCCGGGGTTTCGAATCACGGCGAACGGGCTGGCTACATGGGCGTTTCGGTGGTGTTCCGCATGTGTAACGTATGTACGAACCAGTGTCCCTTAGAATGTTCTCCATGAAGGCATACCTCCACTTAGGCGGATAGCCCTTGAGTGCTTTGCCGTAATGAAATAAAACCCAAATTAATTGCTGGGTTTAGGTGAAACAAAGAATAAAAGAGCTTCCGCTGACTTTTGTTGCATCATTTATTACTAAATTTAGAGTACGAATAGCCCATGGAATGAAAATGTCTCAATTTATATATCAAAGAAAATTTTCCATTTCAGTAAAAGTCATCGTTATTGCTTTTAATCCTATACCAGTTTTGAAATCAATCCCGAAAATGTTAGTACTTAAATTTAAATATATTTCCGAAATTTTTTATTAATTAATTTCCCATTTTTTGGATATTATATATACAGATAGATATGAAATATTGATTTTAAGGAGGTGTGAAAATTTCTGTAACTCAAGATGTTTTTCAAAATATTGAAAATAAATTGCTTAAAATAAAAATTTTTAAATCAAAACAGGAAAACGAAAATGTTTAAGTTTTATTTGAATTACAAGCTAACTTTTTAATAACAGAAGAGAAAAATCTGATATTTCTAAATATGTACTAAATTCAATTAACATTACCGAACTAAAATTTTGAGTCTTAATTTTATAAAATTTATTTAGTTAGTTAATAACTAAATAAATAAATCCATGAATTGATGCCAGCCATAAAGTTAATAATTAAAACTTGACAGTTTAATAAGAAGGGAAATTAAATATATCATCGAAAAGATTTGATAGAAGCACACAATGTTAAACTGGACGAGCCAGCAGGGTCACACACTGAAGTCAGTTCCCAGAGCACAGAGTAAATCAGTACGATGGAAGGAAACGTTAAAAGTCAGTCCCGCGGACCGGTCTACAGAGTTGTTTAATAGTCATTCGTAGTCAAATGGCGAAGTAAATTAACTGTAAAATTTCCTTTATTGCCGCAATGGTAATATACTGCCACCGTACATTTATGTCCTCAGAAACTTTCTTTCACTCATCTTCGCCAACAGGACAAAGCATCTTAAGAGTAACTCCATTAACTTGAAATGTGATAGAGTACCGTCAGAAGCATCTAAATTTATTCACGGAGTTTCGTAAAAAATCACTAGTTTCGAAACGGACTGAAAATAGTGGCTCGGAAACGGGCTGACATTAGGGCGTCCAGTAGTCACCACCGGAAGATCATGGCCTCTCTTCTGTTGCGAGTCACGCCACTAACACGGTAACTATATAGTAGGCATGACAGAACTTCCTCGTGGTACCGCGTGCTTGTAGTTATACATTGATATTTTGCATAGTACATGCACGTATATAAAGGATTGACAAGTATTTTATTTGGCAATTATTGATAATCTGCTGAAGAATGGTTTACACTTGTTGCTTTGCTAATTACTGAAATACTAATAAAGTAGACTAGATTTTCTCTTCAAAATCGGACTTTGTGTGCAAGAAATGGTTACACTGGCAGAATTTTAAAACATTCTAAAGTATGTGAGATCTTTTTTATAAAAATATCAGTTTTTTTATCCTTTATAAACGTTTAATTAAAAAATATACTATAATATACGTATTATTCTTGTATTAAAATTACGCATCTCTTGATAATCTAAAAATTAGGTCTTATTTTTGTTTGATATTAAACATCTATAATATTTTGAATTCAATAAAATCTTCAATTAATTATATGCTAACAAATAAGACTGCAGTTAGTCATCAATGCAAAAGCATTCAATTAAATCTGTAATCTGTAATGTTGATGAAGTATTAATTAAAGAATAATATTTTAGTTAATAAGAAAGAACTCAAAATTTTCATGAATACTCAAGAGCTTATCAGAATAATAAGCGCATTTCCTGGAATTCAGCTATAGATAATTTTCCATTTCCATAAATTCATTCCTGAATGGAAACCTGAGGTTTTGCATGAAAGCTAGATTTTCATTTTACACAATCTATTTGTAAGATTTCCTTGTGAATCTATAGTGGTAGTCGATAGTGAATTTGTTTTTCTTCTTTATTTGGGAAAAATATTGCTTTGAATCAGACATTCAGAAAGTAGTAAAACATTTTGATGGAAAAAAGGAACTTCTATAAAATTAATCTGGTGCCTCTAAGGCTTCGAAAGGAAGCTTTACCTTCACAACTGCTCGATTGCCCAAAATATTTATCAAGTAAATCTTCAGATTCTAGATAAAGTGCTGATGAGAGCAGAGACAGAATTGATAGAAATAATTTACAGTTTGCATTTGCTGCAAGTTTTAACAATAAAACAAATTATGATAAGAAAAAAAGCTTTACACATCTTCAGTTTCTACTGAGCATAAAACCCGAGAAACTTCCTAAAATTTGGGCAATAGCTTTCAAAGAACATAAAGTCCCTTTTTTCATTACTGATATTCACTCTGCATCGATTATCGAAGCTTCTGCGGTATTGTAATATAAAATAATAGCAACATAAAGCCTATAGTGTAGTGTTCTTAATGGCAAATCAAAATTAAAAATGATGTATAAGCAGTTGTCCTAAAGTAATAAATGGTGTAAATAGGTTTTATAAAATTTTGATGTTTTATTAAATATCTCTAAGCCACAAAAATTAAAATTGGTTTTTCAATGTTATAAAAAAAGCTCTTTATGTACTCAAAACTGTTAATCATGATGACAGTGTTAAGCAGGAAACTGTAGCATTCGTTGTAGAACAATTTTCAAATCTTATTTATAAAAAGAAAGGAGTTCGTTATTCATCACACATATATAGATATATATATATATGTTTTTTTTCTTAGCTATTTTATATTCTATTTGTCCCTATGCAGATAAATATTTTGACAGTGTAAACAATACAGACTGTGGATGGTTCTGAAATACGTAAAAATTTTAAAAGTAATTTTACACTGCTTGTTTTAGTACATGACTAGATATTGTTCTTAATTCACCTAATTATGGCTTTGAAATTAATACTTGCAAGGATTATGTTAATTTTATTAACAGTTAAATTTTGAGTTAAACTTCTTTCATGTCAAATTCTAAACTTCAACTTACTACTTCCGGCCAGAACGTAGTTTTGGAATCACTCTGAATACTTAATAAGGAGGAGCGGTATTTAAACCGCGAAGTCTACTTGCTGAGTTAGAGAGAATCAGAGTTTCTGATTTGCGCGCGTCTGCCTTTTGGCTACTCTCTCTCTCTCTCAGAGCTGTTATTATGCTCGGCCGTACTCAGGCCCTTGATAAAGCTTCGTAGTCAAATAGAGTTAAGGAGCCAACTCGATTAGAATCTTGATAGCTTCGGATATATCTCTTTAGTTAATCTTAGTTTTAGTTTATTTCTTAGTCTCTTAAGTTCAAGCCCAAGTGTCGGCTTTTATTGTACACTCCGAGACGGAGTTTTGTTAAATCTTATTGGAATAACAAAGGGTTAGTTACCCTTCCTTCTTGTTGTTTCTTGTCACACGAACTTAAGAGATTATTCGCTAACTATTTCTTAAGATCCGTCACTTTCTACAGTAACTGAGAAATACACTAGTGAAAATCTTACATACTCAAAGTTTAAAACTGCGTAAATTATATTACATTTATTAAGTCTAATTAATATTTATTATGCCGTAAAACTGCAATGTTTCAAACAAATAATAAAATGTTTGAATGGAAATAAATGTTCGATAAACGTTTTTACGAATCATGTAATATTTGCTTCTCTCGCTTTCCTAGCAAGCCTTCGTGGTGTAGTGGTTCTGCACGCTGGGCCGGTATTCCAAAGGTACGTGGTTCGATTTCCGGCGAAGGTGGTTGTTAATTTTTCATCTCTCCGGCTTTTCCAATTAACCTAATGTCTCTACACATGTATTGCAACAAAATGTGAATTGTTGCAACAAAATGTGAACCTAAAATGTAAAACCAAATTTATAGTAATTGCTTAGAAATACTTGTATTTCAGTAAATGTCTTAGATTCTGTAATATAAAAGGGAAAATGTTCAGTTCATGGAATGGATTAATAATGTCTGTATTGAGGGGAGGGACATTTTTAACAAGCGAAACAGTGTCGTTTCTAACTTGTTTGGCATCAATTAGGCTTGTGCGCGTTCTTTCCTTATCCGTTACGAGTGATGTCACGATTCCAGTGCCAAGCCTTTTCTTTCGACGGTGACGGTCAAGTACTATCACTAAGTTTTAGCATTATGAAAGTTAGATTTTTTTTGTTTGTAATTTCCACAAATTGTCCATGAATCCGTTTTTATTTTCACTGAAACTTCGAAAATTTAAACATATTTGATGCAAACGAAGTTGAAAAGAAATGTAGTTTCAACCAACTCTTGAAATTTATATTATAATATATACTATATATTTTACATATCATACATAAAATCCATTCACATCATATAATTCGAAAAATTAAAAAAAATAAAGAAGCCACTACCTCAGTAGATGATCAAGGAACACAAGAATGAAGTAAATAATTTCAGTACAAAGTAAAAGAAAAGAAGACCTACTTTTTTTTGCTTGTATTTGATTGCTAGCTTGAGTCTGCTGAGATGCATGCGGTCTCCATGTTCGAATGCCGGACCGCTGGGATCGTAGTTGAGCATTGCTTCCAGTTCGTAAGAACTTCGCGTGTGGTCCAAGAGAGCAGTAGCGAAGTTCTGGCACTGTCTTCGAAGCTCCTAGAATGAAAGGTAATCAGAAACACTCACCTTGCAAAGCCAGATGCCGGAGTAAAATTAAAAAAAAAAGAAGCATGTTTTCAAAGTTTTCTTTACCTGGCATTGAACGTATGAGGAAAATTATATCCAGCATTATAGGGTTATTTAGTCCAAAATTTAAAGCAAAAATGCCACTTAATGTTTCCCTTCCCTGAATATTTGTTGTTAAATTTCAGATGAGTGTATAATTAAAGAAATATCTATATCTCGCAATGTTTACTTAAAGTTAACCGCGGAAGCATAGCATCATCAATGATTTACCAACAAACTTCTTTTCTAATGATGTACTGCTTGAATCTGAGAACAAAAAATTCTTGGAAGTTTGATATGAGAGTTGTCTTAGACGAAAAAAATCGTCTTTTTCTCTCACTCATTCACTCATGCACGTACACACTCAGAGAGAAAGACATCATTGTGAAAATATTAAAAAAGTGTTTTGAGGACCTAATTCGTGCTTATTCACTGCAAAATCGCTATGGAATTTTACGACATAAACATTACCTCCCTTACATATTCCCTCTTCAGGGCTTCTCCTCGGCATCCTTCTCTCCAGCGCAGCTCCCGAGAGCGAATGGTGCAGCTCTTATGCAATTAAGATGCATGTATGAAGTCTAGTTAAATAAAACTACTCAGTGGCCAAAAAAAAGTAATTAATTAATTAATTTCTTTTTACAAAGTACACTTAAATTGATCAAGATTCAAATATAATTATTTTATTTGATTTCTTAATAGTGAAGAAACTTAATAACATTATCAAAAACATAAAAATAAATAAAAAGTATTGCAACGATTCTATTAAATAATTTTCTAATGAAAACCTTTAAAAGTTAGATTTACTTGTGAATGTTTTACGAATAGATGGATGGATGCTTGTGGACGCTTTACAAAAAGGGTTTGCCGAATTCCTAAATCACTAGTAACGGTAAAAACTAAACTGGGAAGGTCTGTGAGCAATACAGAAAAACGTGTGTAATGTATCAGAAGCATTGAGGGATTATTTAGAATCTGACGTTTCTTTCCATTTGATACATATTTCGATACTTTTAAAATGATGTAAAATGAACTTGCAGGTTTTGGAAAACTAGTTGAGAATCTCAAATTCTCTTGAATTCCATAATACGGTTCTTACTGATATAAAGTTGGCCATTCCTGGCATATAGGCTGACCGAAAGTTAAAAAAAAGCAACTCAGTTTATTGCCCTGAAGCAAGCCGAAAACATGCTTGGAAAGAAATATGCGTAGGTCTATTTAATGAATATGTATGTTGCATAAAACACCGGAACATAATGTTACGAAATCAACGATATGCTCAGTAGAATAAGAATTTTCATTTCTCAAGGTGAATGGCTAAAAAAACGTAAAAGTAGGTCTTGCTTACATTAATACAAAAAATCTATAATAATAATGGAGAGCACTTGGACAGGAGCGTGCATCGCGTAACGTAGATACGGATAATCAGAAAGCTTCGAAATTTGTTGCAAGATTTATCCGGGTGATAGAGATGAGAAATTCCAAGCAATCGTTTTCAAACATTTTGGATTTTATTTAATTTTGAAGCAATATTTTTTAGCTTTTTTCCCCAAAACTTCGCTTTTCGCTTACGAACAAAGTAGTTATAGAGAGCCTCACTTTTTGAACAGCAGAGAGAATGAAAAAAATGCTTTTAAACAAAGTTCATTTCGAATCTTTAACCTAATTTGATGATGTTTTGTCGATTTTGTAAATATTACTGTTTTTTATAACTGTATTTCTATTAGTAATTAATTCTCGCATCGAAATATCTAGATTTGACACCAGAAGTTGTCTCAGATTTTAAATTCAATTCTTTGCATTCTTTTAAACAAGAATGATAGAAAATATTAATTAGGTGAGTTTGGTACTAACGTATTCACCCAACCACCTTAGTAGAATTTGCAAAGTTTTCAGAATAGGCCAAAGTTTGACAATCATGAGCATAACCATTCTTCCAGAAATCATACCCAGAACAATCCTTCAATAAAGCAACGCCGCCATGTTCGTATGCTTTCTGTTTTAGCTGTATGCCAAGTTCCAACGGTTATAAACAAATAGAGATATTTTTTGTCTTAAATTTAATTTTAAAATATGAGCTTGCGGAATTTGCCAGCAATGGAAAAAACTGCGTTAAAATTTCTGCAGGAATACAGAATTTTGCTGATCATTTTCGATGGGTAACAACAAGAAAATGCGTTTTCTAGATAACCGTTGTTGTCGAGGTGTGCATGAACCCAAATCTCCACAATTCTCTAATTTTTTTAAAGCAAAAACAGATCACTGTGTATATCATTAGAAGAAGAGCGAAAAAAAAAAAGATTTGAAGAAGAACTGAAAATAACAGGATCATTTCGTGAAAAATTGGAAAGGCTGGTGTGAGGATTATATGCGACGTGACATTTTGTATTCAATTTTTTCCTTTTTGTTATAAGAGGCCCACCAGCGGCCGAGCGGTAAAGACGCTGAACACTGGTAGTTCGGTCCGAGGTTCGAATCCCGCGAACGGGCTGGCTGCATGGGCGTTTTCGTGGTTTTCCCCATGTGTAACGTGTATACGAGCCAGTTTCCCTTAGAAAGTCCTCCACGAAGGCATCCCTCCCTTTAGGCAGATAGCCCTCGTGTGCTTTGCCATAATTAAATAATCCAATCCAATCCAATCCTTTTTGTTATAAAAATTTGTTGCAAAGAAATTAAGTTTACTATTCACGCGTTACTTTATAAATGTTAGTTTATTTTCGTAATTTTATAATTAAACATAGGAGTAGTATTTTAATTTCCTAACGGTAGATTTTGATTCGGTATTAATTCCTTTTTTTGATCTCATTTTGTCTTCTTGCAGTTATATTTTGCTTCAGACATGAATGTCCATATGTATCACTATGCCATGAACATCCTTACGCGGCTTTTCGTTGCGCAGTCGTTGGCCATAGATATACATTACAAAAATGTTTAATATGAAGCAAATATTCATATTACTAGAAAATTGTAAGAAAACTAATTTTGTAAAGTTTATGAAATCTGACTTTTTATATTATCTATGGGTTTATATAGTTAAACTTAATAGCTTAAGCAAGTTGCATCAATGTAATTTAATTTCAGGTTTTGAGAACTAAGGAATTTTCGCTACTGAAAAGCCATGTTTCTGCCTTCCCTTCAGGAGCTGGTTAAAAAGTAAATTAAAGTAATTTCCTCTTGATTTTTATAGCTTTAATGCCATTTAGTGCTATTCCTTTATGATTTACCAGCGTGTAATATTCTTCAGTTTAGAATTTTACTACATTTATTATGCCAGAAACATTTTCCCGCAAGTAATTTATAAATTTTCAAACGCTAAAAATGAGTTAACGGTATTCAAGTACAGTTTTATAACTTTAAAAAACATAACAGTACAAAAATCCTTAAAACATAAATAATTTTTAATTTCTTATTAATGCAGATAATTTTACGCGTTAGATATATCTCAATTCTGAGGCCCACCGCTTTTTTCTAGAACACGAATTCTGTAAGATTCTGAAAATAAAATCTTCTTTTTTCAAAAAATTGAAAACATTTTATCGATGAAAAATTTTTACGGCAGTTTATATATCAGTGCTCGTTGCTTAACCCGCTAGTGGTTACGGGTGAAAACATCGCGGCAGAAATAATTTGGACCAAAATGTAGCGGAGTAAACAACGCAAATTGAAAACGACATTATATAAACGTCAAAGTGGGAGCTAGGAAAGCAAGGAGAAAATATCGCAATTTTAAAACTTTGTGGTATAAAACATCATAGTCGAAAGTAAAGCGGTTCAGGAACATCGCAGTTTTGAAACGTCGTTGTAGAAAATATCGCGGTAAATTATAAAGCACCTACAAATCATCGAATGAAGATAACATCGAATACATGCGTTTTTCAGGCTTTAAAAACTGTAACGGTATATTCTCATAATAAATGGTGTGAACAAGAAGGAAGGAGAACTATTTTTACCTTTATATTTCATAATTTTTAATTAACTAATAAATTTTCCAGAGAAAGCAAGTAACGAAATTTAAGCATACAAAAGCTGAAAATGGTAGAAAAATTAATGCTTCATACAACAGTTAATAAAATTTTAAACAGATATATTTAACTATTAAAGATAATTATTTAATTAATCTATTTTATAAAACTGTAATGTTTGTTTTTCATGAAACATATAGTCTAAAAAGCTTTAAAAAAAGGAAAATGAGTAACTGAATGGAGTTATATTAAAATTTTTTAATTAGTTATCAAATAGTAAAATTATGTTCTTTCACTTTGTTAACCTGATTTTCTTTTAGTAAACATTAAATCTTGTTTTGTTTCAGTTTGTTAGTCTTCTTACAGTGCCATTAATATTTTTATGTACAGGGTACAGCTAATCGTTTGGATGTTGATTCGTTAGTTATGACGAAACGTATCAGTGAGTAGCTACATAATGTTCCGTAGGGGATCTGGATTTATTAAATCATGGTAAAGCATATTAAGTCTATCTGCCTAAGAAAAGGGATGCGTTTATGCAGCACTTTCTAAGGAACTGGCTCGTATCTGTGTTAAGAAAACCAAAAAAATCTCATGCGGCCAGATTGTTCGCCGGCTGGAATTACCAGTGTTCAGAGACACTCGGAAATTAAAATTAAAGGAAATTAGTTCGTTTTTACATTAGTCATCGGGAAAGCTCAAATTAAAAATTATACCCAGAAAATTTAAATGCAGTTTTTTTTCAGATATAAATATAAATACACTGAACTCTTATGGCGATTATTTCTCTAAGACTACCAGTGTTTCTGAGAGCACAAATAAATATATGTATTAAACGTTACCTTTCAGAGATTGTAACATTCAGAGAAGACTAAAAGCGTATAAAATAGCGAATGGTCACTTTTAAAAGGATTCTTTGTATTTCCCTTTGCATTTATATATTAAATTTTGTAAATATAACGCTGATTT